GCCACGGGATTTTTGATATCTCGAACGGTTTGGCCGTGGCGAGGAAACGAAATTATGGCGAGAAACATGGAACAGGATGTGTGTTATAACTTCAGCATACATTAACTGATCTTGATGAAACTTCAGCAGTGTTTTCGCTGTAAGAGACCGATCACATGGATGTGACTATTGTGAGTCAAAGTTATAGCGCCACCAACTGGCAGCAGGAAGTGTGTCACTTTCAAAATGCCGTGGCAACGAAACAAACTTTAACATTATTTTTTGATGCTTTTGGGACTCTTAGCTTGCTTGAAATTGCTTGAAACTCAACAGATACATCACATTTATTAGCCAATAGACATGTGCAACTATGGCAAAAGATTAAAGTAATGTCAAAAAAGTAAACACTAAAAGCCTCATATCTTCTAAAAATGTAATTATACATCATTTGTTTCTAAATTAAATTATACAAATATTATAACTTGGTCTTGCTCAATCTGAGCCTGCTGTCTTTGCCTGTCTGTGTATGTGTGTGTGTTTGTAGGGGGAGGGGTATTAACCATTTCACTCCTGTGTGTATGGCCTGCATAAAAAATAAATGCCTTAAGCCTGGTATTTTTTTAAATAAGTTTTTTTATTTTTTTATAAGTAAAGGCATATAACCAGTTTAATTGTAGTGCATTAATAGTTTTATATAATTAGTTTATTAATTAAATTAACTTGGTCCATAAACTTGATCTGAAAATTTGGTCCATAAATCAAACACACTTGCATGTAATAATATGACTTGAGTGTTAATCACATCATGTTTTCAGTTTGAATATAAAATATATAAATTATGTAAAAAAAAATAAAGTTGATCCAGCTGGAGCGCAGGCTGAGAATAGCGCTGTCATGACTGGATCAGAGATCATCAGTCATGCCTTCTCATACCTTACGCGCACACCACGCCCACTTACATCAGATCACATCAACATGTCAGCCGGAGGGATAACGAGGGTCGTCGTCGCTTTTGGATTCAAGAATTTCTTACAACAAGATGGCAAAAGAACAGCGCTTTGCAAGACATGCAACGTTAAGATCGACAGTCAGATGACAACCTCCAATTTCGTCCGTCATTTGAAGAGCCATATTCTGCCCAGTAAGTGCTTGTCAATTTGTTAATGTTATCTGGTTAGCTCGTTCGTAGTTAGCTAGCTAATGTAAGTTAAAGGAGAACTCCGGCGCAAAATTACACATTGTTACCTAGTCAACCGTTATCTGAGATTTGTTTTCATGACTGCCGAATGTAAATAGTTTTATCTATAAAAACAGTTTAGCCTATAAGTGACGTCCGACATTCTGCATATTGTGTTATTTTGTTAAGCCCCACTAAAGGCATAAAAAACTGTAAAGCACAATCAAGTTTTCACACTATATTCCAAGACTTCTAAAGTCATTCAATAGCTTAATGTGTGGTAAAATTAATATTTTAGTCTCTAAGTTAAAGTTAACGGAAAGTCATCTCGCCTCAGTCATTCTCCATGCATCAGCATTAGCGCGTCGCGTTCGGTTGCGACAGTAACACGACGACACTCTCTTCAAGATCAATGTTCCCAATATTATACTTTCTTTGTAGATAAGGCATAAAGGTCTATGATTTGCATAAAATGACTATCTTGCTGGAGTGGAGTTTATTGCCCTTTAGAATACACTAAGCATTAGTGCTGCACGATTAATTATATCGCAGTCGTAATAGCGATCTCAAACCTATGCAATTATATAACGCAAAATGCCGCGATTTTAAATGAAATAAACAAAGTAGGGCTATTAGCGCAGCATCTCTTCTTTTTTGTCATCCTTTGACTAGTGTTACAAGATCCCCCTCTTATTGGTTCAAATGCCTTTTCGCATTTTGCACGACAAGAAGTGAAAAGCTGCCTGTGAGTGCCCTAGATTAGAATAGATGAGACTCGCATAATGCGCATGCACTGACCGTGTGCCAGCCCAGAATAAACAGTTCTCTTTCGAGCTTGAACGAACAATAGCACACACAATTATGCCAAAATGTGAGAGTTGTGAGTTGTGCTATGAGGCGCGTGTGAGATCCGCGTCTCGGCAACGGGTGCTCTTAAAGGGCCAGCAGCGAATAAAGCGTTCTTTCAGTAAAGTTAAAAGAACAAAGGGAAATTAGAAAATTACTCACTGATCTTGAGTAAAGAACTTTTGTAGCTTTAATAAGGATTATTATATATATAATTTATGATTCAGGCAGCGCAGACTGTTTGATAACTTTATTCAATTTCTGTACCTGTTAAGACAGGAAGGGCACAGGTAAATATGTTTTTTATTATGGGTTTATGTGGGGATTGTTTGAAGTTCACTTAATTTAAAAGCTGTTATATATTTTTTTTAAGCCTAATAATTTTTTAAAAAGTTGATGGCTTTCAATTGATGGAATCACTGTAATGTTGGTTTGGTTGATGGTTTATTGATCATTATAGGTGTTATCAATCATTTATTGTTGTTGTTGTTTTTAGTTTGAGTTGAGAAATAAACATTAATCTGTGTGTGCATTTTACTTTAGAACCAAGCAAGTTGGACTCATGAAACCATTTTATTATATCGGAGTCGCAAATCGCAATTGCAATATTGGCTCAATAATGGCAATATGACATTTTCCCAAATCGTGCAGCCCTACTAAGCATAGATTAGATACCATCCCTTCGCTATGTTCTTTTCAAATGTGAAGCGTTGCGTGCTGTGACTTGGTGTTGCTTCAAGTGCATCGTTCTGCACACGGGATGCGCATGATTGCTTATAATACTTTGGGGAGACAAGGGGGCGTGGCCTAAGGGAATATCACTCGTGATGTTAAGTGATGTTACCCCGCCATCGCTGATACAACCTTTAGCAGTCATGTTTTTGCTTCTTGAGAGAGAGAGAAAGTGTGTGTGTGTGAGCAGTGGCGGTTCTAGGCGGGGGCCTGGGGGGGCCAGTGCCCCTGCGACAACAAGCTTGGACCCCCTTGTGGCCCCCTAATGTTGTGGAGTCAGTGTGAAATATTTTTTATAGTGTGTCACGCATTGAGCATGACAGTCACTCGTTTCAGTCTTTTGTCTCACACTCCCGTCACACATTGTATTTCTCATGCGGAAAAAACTTAATAATATATTTAATATACGCAATTTCTCTGGCCGCGCCGCTCTCACGTGAGAATCAAGCGCGTCTCGCCTGGAGTTCAGCAGTCGACCCTGCTACGCATCAGCCAATCAAAAAAAAGAGAAGTGCTACTTAATAGCCAATCAGAAAAAGGGCACTATTGTATCTGGGTAAAATTTTACGCAACAACCAATGAAAAAAAAGCATATCCTGGAATTGTTCATATGATTCTGTTACAACATCTTCCGAAAGTTTCTTCACCCGTCCCACAGATGAAACTAATCACTGGAGCTCCGAACATCACTTGGAGCACGGAGTAAGTCATGATCTCCTGTTTTAATGTTACAACAAATTCACAAACTTGTTTGACAAAAACTATGACAACTTGACTGATGTAGATGAATCTTTCCCGTAGCGTAAGCTAGCTTACGCAATGCTCGTTCCCTCATCTAGAGAGAACGAGGTTACGTTAGGTAATCGATTCGTTTCCCATTTAATTAGTATCAGTCTGTAACTTAGACAACAGTTTTACAGCCTGTTCACTGACAACACCTGCTCAGAACAAAGTAGTCTAGGCCTAGTCATCTTATTACACGAATCACGATGACTGACATATTGTCACATTATAAACATCTCTCTCTCCAAATAGGCCTTAATAATTTTATTAGCATAGATAAATTAAATATAGTGTATTGCATAGTCGATATATAGGTTCACTTTTTAAAATCATTTTCAGTATTTTATAATTATATTCTGGCCAAGATGCATTAATTATTGCTTCTGTCTTTCAAAGATGTCAGGAAAAAAAACAATTATAAAAAAGCTCATTCACCCTGAGAGGAAAGCCCCCTAAAAAAGCCAGTTTAGAGGATAATTT